ACTTACATTCAATAAGGCCTTCTATTGGCTGTCTCCGCGGTTACATGTAGAAGCTTTGTTTACGCGCATGACCAGCTGTGTGGTAAAATAAAATGTTCTACCAAGGACTTTTCTGTTACTGCATTTTTGCAAAAAAAACTTCGCAGAATAGATAAATATAATTTTCTAAACTTCTATCGCTTCTTGTTTCTGAAAATAACTGCGATTCCTTAAACTTCGCTTTAGTTCCATTTGATCAAATACAGTACTGGAAGGGATTATTATTCCACCTTTTTTTACTAATCATGGAATTCTGCCACAAAACAATGTATATTGAAGAAAGTTTCGTCCTGTCTTTCCTTATAGCATACGGAATTCCTTTTATATAACCATACTCATGATTTAGCAAAATGAGAGCCCATTTCCCCAAATAACTGTAAGTAAGAGAGCAGTTTTCCAAACCAAAGCCCTTCTTATTAATAAATCCACTCAGTTGATCAAAATAACCTGTCCAGATATAAGCTAAACTACCAAGTAAAATTTCGTCCTGAAATTTGTTTGCAGGATTCGCAGAACTGTATATATGTCCAAATGCATTAGAAGCTGTTGAGTTTGAAAAATGGGGAACAGACCATTTTTCATAGTTTCAGTTTATTCTTTTACATTCGATACTGCGGTTGTATTGAATTCCCGAAGACTATTTGCGCGGTTCTTGTTTCTTATTGGTTGCATTTCTCATTTTAATTATCGCGCGCCGAACATGGAGGCATTTAAACAGTTGTTCAATTATTGTCTACTTTTATACGCTCAACTGTTCTACTTCGCCTTATAAGCCCACCCTTATAACCCCTATTAGCACCGATCCCGTAAGACAGAATTCTGGGACTGGGGTATCTAACGCGGGCGACAAAACCTGCTTTTGACGAGTAGTGCTTGCGGGATGACAATAAGTGTCCTCTATGGTGTATTTTCTTACATATTCCGGCAGCACAGACCGAAAAACGCAATTTTTATGTGACGAATAATGCATGCATTAAGTCCAAACAACCCTACCGCTGTCTAAAGCTAAAGTGAGCAAACATAAAAAAAGGTTGGTGAAATATAATCACTGGGACGTCAACACATCAATTTTTCGCAAAATACACATGATAAAAAGAACCAGGAGCACAGAAGCGCATAGTTCTGGGGGAATAGTACGTACACGATCACCAAGGGACTGCTGGATGATAGTATATAGTCGTGGACTGGAAATGCACAAAGGACAAACACTGGCAGTTGAGCGGAAGGGGGAGGGAGGAAGCAAAAGCAGCAGCAACAATCATTTTTCTTTCATGTTCACTGGGACACGTCGTGTTACCCGACCACACAGTAGACCAAAAATGAATATGAGGCCAACCAGAGCAAAAGCCACTCCAAAGATGAGGTTTCGTGAGGTGCTGGCGTTTAACTCAGCCGCCAGCTGGCGCCAATCGGCGGCAGTGGACTGCTTAGCGGAGATGGCCCACAGATCCTGTCTCAGGGTTAAACTTCGCCGGCACTTTGCATCAACGTGTTCGGAGAGTGAGGGACTATCCACAGCCGCGAGGAGGCATTTCATACGACGTCCGTTACCGGGCGCAACCTGAAGAAGAATACGAAAGGAGTATTGCATCAGGAGCCATGGTCGTAAATATTACGACGGGTTAACCAAACCGCAAACAAATTGTTAGAGGACGGAACGACGGGAGAGAAACTCGCTGACGAACGTTCATCGAACGCAAACAGAACGCACCTGTCCCACTCTGCCATGCCTTGGGCCTCATTTCTAGGGTCTTTGCAGCAACCGTAGCGGCTAGACGCCTTAGGCAGGTAGTATTAACGGCAAAGAAAAGGTAGACTTAAACGGTCATTTCTGCCTTATTAGCTATCGTCAGCTAGTCATGCTCAACCAAAACTGGTGCTTCATCCGAGCAACGAGCTGGGGACTCGATGTTTAGGGCGTTTGACTCTGAGCAAAAAGGTCGCGAGTTCGAGGTTTGGGTGGTGCGTCACTTGGGTCTGGATATGACTGGCTGACGACGGCTTGTAAGCCAGAAATGACCATTCCAGTCTCCCCTGTCTTTGCCGGCAATAATATTTGCCTATCCAAGTCTGCGAAAACACCCCATTTACAACGTCGACTTCAAATAAAACTACAAGACATTGATTGTAATTCTCCGGTGTGCTTTCGAATTGAAAGTATGACTTAATGCTACAGTGGATTTCAAGCGCCCGAAAGCGACATGCCGAGTTCCGAGGAGGAGAAGAATAAAATGAATAACATCAAAAAGGGCGTTGAATCAACAACGAGGGAAGGACGAGAAAAACGCAATCTACACGACTTTTCGATTAATGAAAGTCGATCACAACGGGGAAATAACATATGCAAACATAAAGATGATAAAGATAGATGAAATACAGGCAGAAATACTGCGCCCATCACTGGCGCCCAGTTTCGTGACATACTAGGCGATACCTTACAGTGAGGTTTGTGTTAAAAAACAGCTACAAAATGCAACTAGCTCATGTTTTCACGCGAGTCCTAGGCTGTTTAAAGACAACACAGTTTCAGAATGAAAGCTAGTGGTCCCGCTGATATGAATTATAAAGAAGTTTGCATATAAAACCCCTAAAAGTATCCAGTGCAGAGACTGCCAAGTGTTGAAATGGCGGTCTGAAACGAATTAAGTCTTTTTCTGGTTCTGGTCATTGAAATTATCCCCCCCCTGCCATAAGTAAGGACCCATATGCATCCTGGATGGAGGCCGATGCGCTATTTGCGAGACTTACGGTATTTAGGAAAGTAACATATAGGTCATTCGTCAGCAAACAAACCTCAGCGCAGGCAATTTTGATGGTCTCAGCACAATCTCGTGCCAGAATTGGATCCACGTCGATGTCTGCGTGTGAAGCCAGGTTCAGATTGAGTATTTCGTTCACACAGGACGCATTATGGATTCGCTTCAGCGCTACTTGACGACGGAGGCATTCACCGACAAGGCCATCAGCATCGTCACCGTCTACACCCGCGAGGGCCAGTTCTTCGGAGCAATAAGCACGCAGATCTCCATAGCAGAGCTCCACCAGTACGGGATCCACATGATGGTTGAGATTCGCATCGATCAGGAGCTACAGAACAGAGGGGAAAGTGAGGCGGAGATTGCAAATGAATTGTCTGCCCTGTACAATAATATGACATTTTTAAAACACGGAAATGGTGTGCGACAAAAAGAGAGGTGACTTACTGTTCGGATGTGGTTGGCGCATGGACGCGTTAACGGAGCTCTGCCCTTCAGGGAACTGGCAATGTACTGCTTCGTCAGGCAGTTCAAAACCTTATTACCTTGCTCAAACGCTGAGGCGGAGTCGGATTCAACCTCTTCCGAGCAGAAGACCTTCATGTCCATTCTAAAAAATACGCGAAAAGGAGAAGAGGAGTTCACAGAGAAAATCCTGCGTATGTTTGCCCACAAATTACGTTGGACAGTTGGGCGGGGAATAGATATTTAAGCGGCCCTGCAAGACAGTTTTGCCAAAGTAACTATATAACTCAAAGGAGTAGAAATTAATTAGGTAGGCTAGCAGCCTGCTGTACCTGCAGTACTTGCCCAGCTTAGCATCCAGTCGAAAGTCCATCCGTTGCATCCTCATTCGTTTCACCACCACCTGTCGGCACTGCGGGTCAAAGGTGTCCGCGTGCGCGCTCGATATGCTGGCCGCATGAAGGCAGTCCAGCAGGTCTGCTCCTAACGCCAGCTGACGAAAGCTCCTCCCGTCATCCAGCAGATGCGGACAATGCAGGTGCGCCATTGGTTCGCACAGGGACAGCAGTTTGTAGTCTGTGTTGCGGTCAATGGTAGCCAGACGG